GATAAATAAATGGAAAATGAAGCTAAATGAAAGCAAAACTGTATGTAAATTTCACAAACTAAAATTTAGTAAACCCACCGAAATTGAATTTGAAATGTGCTAAATATCAATCTAAAAAACACAACGAAATACCTTATTATTTTGGATGTCAAGCTCTGATGGGAAGAACATATCAAGAAGAGAATAATAGAATTAGGAAACAAATCTCTTTTAGGTCTTTTATCTATATAATCTTCGGCAATTTTGGAAGCAGCTTGTGAGTATGCATTAATTGTTCTTGTAGTTCTTTCATGATTACCAACAGGCAATTTAAGCCGACTTTTATTCTCCTTTTTTGTAATGCCTTAGTCACTAAGCAGATTTGGTAAGTAGCAAGGTGTGCATCGTTACATTTCCCACACCTGGCCTAAATTATCCTTTTTACTATATTCTTCTGTCATGGAAGCATTTCTTCTATGAGGTTCAACTTTTACTCTCATGTGCTGAAGATATCCGTTTTATATGCTTATTTTAATTATGCCTTCAGCATTATCGAAGGACAACAGGAAAAGAGGCAACTTTTTAATAATATTAACGTCATTTTCTTTTATTTTTTTAATTTTATTTATGACATCCACGCATTACAATCCCTTTTGAATAAGTTCATAGTTAGTATCCTGTGGCTTACATGATGGACTTGGGTTTCTGATTATTACTTTACTTGAGCTCGTCAATTTATTTTTGGAAATATGCCATTTTATTTTGGCTTTATTACCAGCTTTAGTTATTATTTTCATTTTCAGCATTTATTTTTAGTTGATCATGTTAACCCTCACTTAAGTACTTTCCTCTTTGAGGATTCTTATTAACTGCGTGTTATTAATTAACTTAGTTATATTACTCATTATTACCGGTTTTGGTTTATGCTTTTTCAGTTGAGGATTTTTCTTTGGTTCTCTACTCTAGTGTTTTAGTAGATAAAGTTGATTTCTCTACTTTAGTGCTAGTCGTTTCTATTGGCGGTTCCATTTTTAAACTCTTAGCTTTTTTTTAAGAAACTAGTAGGTTTCTCTAGCCAACTTTTTCTCATCTGTTTCGTACACGACCACAGTACAGTTATTTTGTCTTCGGTGCCACTTGAAACTGCATTCTCCTGTGCCAACCAATATTCTTAGACTTTCTGCCTTGAGTTTTCAGATCCATTCTTCAAGCTTCTTACATAGATTTTCCAAATCGCTTGTACGCGAATCGGTCGCTGGTCGACTTTCCTAATGTAACAGTTTTTCTACATTACTTTCACAGGATTAACTTTTGTTTTTTTTTTTTTTAGTTGCTTTCTCTATAACCTTCTATGGATTTAATTCTAATTTCTCGCATAGAGAAGACCTTGCAGCCTTTGGCAAGGGTTTGCCAAACGGGTGCATTAATTTGCTTAGTGATTTATTTTTCCACTGGTGACTTCTCTGAACGTCTTGAACATTCAGTCAAGCCACCGTTGACAATGTAGTATACCACCACTAGATTAAGCTTAATGGGGTAGCGCGACTTATTAGAAATAAATTGTTACCCATTACTTCATTCTCGTTAAGATTCTCCTGGTTGTGCGTTCACCTTGGCCTTTTCGGCATGGTTTGAACCTGCCAGGCCCTGATCTGGAGTTCATTGGTCTAACTCGTCGAGACATTACTGTATGTAAAGAAGCCATTGGTAATGAATGCGTTTGTATAATTCATATGCGTTTGCATATTATCCTTCCAACTTCATTTAATCTTCAAACCCTCAAACATCCGAGATGTCACACGAATATTTTTTTCCTAAAAAACTGCAATAAATCACTTCACAAAAGTAATTTTTATAATATTGACTTTATTTAAATAAATAGCAATGTGATAAAAATAATTTGTGAAAAATATCACATGTTTTTTCGTTTATGAATGTCAGGACTCAGAAACAGTACTTTCATGAAGAAGCGATTTCAAGCTTTTAACCATATATGTATCAGGGGTTTTTGGTATTTTTATAATGCTTATGCAATATGTATCACATAAAGCGGTTGGTTTTGTGCTGGTCACATCACAATTTTTGCAATTGCTTTTATTTTTGCTTGAAAGCAAAAATACTTTACGCAGGAGACAAATGCTGGTGAAAAAAATTTCTATTATCTATACTTACTGACCAAAAAATTAATCCGATGGCCGATAGAATTGCAAAGATTTTTCTGCTTGACATATTTTAATTTTTTTTTTTTTGAGTTTAATTTTACGTAATATTTAAAATATATTTGTAGAAACGGATTTCTTGATTACCTTAAATTTTTTTTATTAAGCGATTGTAGTACGTTTTGTTTGCCTTATTTTTAAACGACTTATATCTACCATTATATCCAATTTGTTTATGTCATCTTCTGATATCTTCATACAAGTTTCTTGTTTAGGTTCTTTTTTCCTTTTTTATTAAACAAAAAAATCTTTGATGATCGTATTTCCGACACGTCTATATACCTTATAAATTGAAAGCTTTGTTGAACGTGTTAAAAAAATACGTATAGATATTTTACTGTTAAGTAGTCTCGATTCGAAAAATTATAAAAAATAATTAAGAAATATAAAGCAAATGTTACAATTACTAAACTAATGCATATTATGCAAATAGTGTAGTTCTGACTGTGTCAGAAGCATGGCATTTAAGCACAATATAGCGTGAATTCTATAGTGCGGTTATAACCTACGCTTTACAAATATTACATTCCAAAAAGTTTATTAAAAACTCTTGACATTGTACACTTTTTCTAAATACGTAGAATCAATTCGGTAACGTTTTATAGTATGTATCAATACGGTGACACTATTATTAGGGTTAGTGTCAAAAATACTCATTGTATGCGTATCATATTAAATCATCAACTTTTTTTGTGATTTTGTATTGATGCAGAGTTTTTTAAATATAAGCTGAAAGTTAAATAATTCATTATTTTAAATCGACAACTGGTAAAAATTAAACTAATCAGCTATTTTTTGATAACATTAATTTCTAATAATGAATTAATTAAAAAAGGGGAAAATATAACCGAATTAATATTTGTAAATGTTTCTTTATATTGAAACTTCCGAAGCTTAATCGAAATTAAAAATTTTTCTTTTAATAGCTTTTCAATGGTTAATAATTTTAATATTTTTACACAAAACCTTTTCAAAGTAAACGGCAAAAAAATATATGATTTAGTGCGTGCAAAAATATCAGAGTATTTTGCATCAGCAAGGTAAACACATCACAGCTTAATGGTATCATTATCATCATCAAGTTATTTTTTGATTACTTTCCGATTATACCCAATTTTACGTAAGTTTTAATATGTATTATGTGATAGATATATAATGTAAATAAAAAAAAATATGTCAGCTGCCATCTGAATTGATCATCGAAGGTAAGAAATAATAATAATTCTGTTTTCTAATTTGTGGAATTTTTGTAAATTTATCTAAAATAAGAAGGAGATAATTAGAATTTTTGTTTAACAGTGAAAGTAATTAAAAATAATAAGTAAAAAAGTGTTGAACCAATTGCAATTTACAAAAATTTGTTGTGAAATAGGTACGTTGCATTTTATGTTTTTTTGTTATTGCCTTTGTAGCACTTTTCCAAAAAATTTTTGAAAAAAAGTGCTTATTAGTTTCACTCTGTCCGTTTGTCCGTCCGTCCGTGCACACTTTTTTTGTTCACAAAACTTCTAAACTCTTGAAGATAGAAAGCTGAAATTTAATACGTGCATAGATCTTTACTACAAACTTATTTCCGTAGAACACAATTTTTACCTCCCCTCTAGAAGTTATACCCCCCCAAAATCCTAAAAATGGCCGTTTTTAACTATTTATTGCAATGAAACCATAAACATTTTAGAAATTTTTCAAACGCAGAAAGGCAATGGGTTGCTTCCCCTATCGCGGTATACTATAGTTAAACTTTAGAAAAACAGAATGGCCGTTCAAATTTACCGTTATCTAAAGTAATTTTTTTCCAAAGTTTTGCTTTTGTTTTTCTTCTAAACCCCAGCCTGTAGAAGCTTGAAATTAGGGGCTTTTAGATATTGACAAATAGTTCATTTCGTTAGAAGAAAATTTTTTTCCATCTCCACCCCCTCTCAAATTATCGCCTCTTGAAAATTGTAAAATTTGAATTTTTGACACCTTATATTTCCGAAACCGCAAGCTTTTTCAAATTTCTATAAACGCAAAAAGCTAACGGTAAATTCCATGACATTAAAAAATATAATTATTTTTCTTAACTCACACAATTAAACCTTAAAATCGAGCATTATATTAACCCCTCTTTATATTAATTTTTGCTTTATTTCAAAGATTGCATATTTGCATCATCCTAAATATATGCAATCCTAGAAATAGTTTTGTATATGAATGAAAATAATTTTGATAGTGTGATAGGTATACCTAGACTGTATTTAAAAGCAGAATTTTCACTTTTGGAAGGGAAAAGTGCTACAATACAAACCATTGGTTTGACTCAACTTTATTACATTTCATTTTACTTTACGTATTTAAATTTTTTCGTTTTTCTAATTAAATTTTCTATTTTCAGGTAAAATCAAAGACAGATCAAATAAGTGCATATATCTCATAAATATTTATATTTTAAAAAACAATTCGTATACTTTGTTATTTTTTGTTATTTTTTTTTTCGTTTTTTGCAGCTAAACAAATTTTGTGATAGGTTGTATAAAATACAGTAACCTACAGTAACATAACATTTTATTTAACAATAAAATTTGAATTAATTGTCTTTTGTAAATTAAAAATAACCTAAGCAAGGGTACAACGGTCGCAAAAGAAAAGAAAATTATCTAAAGAAAATTTTAGAAGAATTTTTAACAAATTTTAAAAAGAAACTAAAGCATATTATGTAGAAAATTCATTAATAACTTTCAAAAATAATAATTTTTTTATAATACGAAAGTTAGAAAAATTCAAATTTATGTAATTGTTTATTTTTTACACTTTTAAAAACAGAGCTTCCTAATAAATAAAAAACAGACGGCTTCAGCGAATGGAATGACGACTCAATCTCCATATAGAAACCGGTAAGAAATTCGGGTTTTTGAAGCGTGTTGCTGATTCTAGATAATGGATTTATACTCTATGACGTCATAGTCTATGATGAGGCAAGAAATTTTTGTTCGACTACTTTTGACGAAAATGTCCATGGAAGATGAAAAAGCACCTTTAAAAAGATTATTTTTATTAAAGTTTTAAGCTTGTTTTTATTTATTTGAATAAATTTTTTTAAAGCTTCAATCTGACAGAACATACCACATACAATATATCATCTTTCATGGTTTGAATAATATAAATTTGCTTTGGTTATAATAAATTCGTTATGAAAAAATATAGAAAAAATTTAAATTTTTTTTATATTATAGAAAAATTCATATTTTATTTTTATTTCACATAAATGAAAACTTATAATTATTTTCAATTTCTTAAGTTAGCTTTATTTCAAAAATTCTACAAAAACTATTGTAAAATATTGCCTTTCTTTTGACCTTCAGACGATTGATTCATAACTAAAATAACTTAATTAATATATATTTTCAATCAATTTATAAAAATTTTTCTTTAAAGTTCCTCTTCATCCTTCAAGAACATTTTTGCCAAAGTGGTAGGACAAAATTTCATATTTGCTCACACGCTATGGCATCATAGATATATACTAAAATCCCTGAAGTTTGAAATATTTTTTGAATGTATTAATATATATTTTTTAATTATTTTGCTTTTCTGAACTTCACAGGGGAGTAGTTAAAAGTTCATCTGGCGAATCATTACCTGCCGGTGCAATAGCAACTGCACACCCTTATAAGATACCACAAACATCTGCTGCAGCTTCAAAATATGATTTAGATTTTCCTCTTCGCAAAACTGGTAAATACATTATATTTAAGCTTTTTTTCAAATTCACCTCCACTTATTATTACTTATTTTGATATCAAACTTTTCAGTTGAAGGGCGTTTACCAAAACTGTAAAATTTTTACGCAGAATATGTAATCTAATTTTTGGTTAAACATTTCGGTAAACAAATATATAATGTAGACCGGCAATTTTATTTCAGTCATCTGTGTACCTTTAATTACAAAAAAAGAAGAAACAATTTTCCACTTACATTTTAATGTTTCTCTCTTATGCTTTTTTCAATGCATACTGAAATTTTTTTCTGTGAAAATATGTTAAGTTGTTGTCAATTTCTAGTGTTTTTGATGTAATGATTCAAAAAGAATTTAGTACATTCTTACTTTCGTTAAAAATTCAGGTTGTACCAAAATTAAGCACGTCAAATTGAAACCTAATGAACAAATTCATATTATGAAAACGTTTACTTTGCAGTATTTTGTACTAAATATTTTTGTTTTTTTTTTGTTTATTAATTTTTTTTCCTAAAAACTTGTTGCAATAGTATAAAACTTTGGATTACGACCTTGTTCCAAAGATACCTTCAATAATTATTTTCTATTTAAAAACTGACAATCTATCCTCTAACTCAAAATTAAACGAGAGAAATTAATATATGATATATTAACACAATAGCGGAAATTGAATTAAACTATATCAATATTATGGTTATATTATATTATGTTTGTTATAAATATAATTTTATTTATAAAACTAAATAAAAATAGTTTTTTTTCGGGGTTAAATAAACAAAATAATATTTTGTATAGTTTGTATGTGAACACATTACATAAAATAAATAAATATTTTTAATGTTAAATAAAATTAACAGTACTAAATTTGAAGCATTTGCAATAGATCTTCATTGACCATTTTCGATTCCCCGCTACATTCAATCCATTTAATATTTTCATATTTCTTTAGAGTTTGTAAAGCTGTGACAACATATTATATGCCACTTTACAGAACTAACATACGTTCTTATGATTAACAAGTTGTTAAGAAGGTTACATTTTTATCTCATTCTTTAGTTTGGACTTTGTGATATTTATTAAGTGGTTTAGGTTAAAGCTCGTCACTTTTTAGCACTACTACATGGCAAATTTAAAAGCAAAAGTAAAATACTTAATTTTTTAGTAGAATAATTTCAAAATATATATTTCACTTCGCAAGTAAAATATTTCACTTTAAAAGTGGAATACTTTTTCAAATTAAAAAAAAAGGATTTTTTGACAAAAATATTCCTCTTTAGCAACACTGCTCGTTACAGTAGTTTTGAAAACTTCCAAACTAAGAGAGAAACTTGAAAGCACGACCTCATTTTATATGGGATTTTTTGAATCGAAATGGCTAGTTTTTAGAGTATTTAAAAAGTGAAAACTTTTATATTAAAATCTTTTAAAATTGATTTATGTTAATCTATTTTGGTTAAAATTATAAAACAAATGATTAAATAATAGAAATAACTAATCTAAAGAGTTTAAATTTTTTAATTCTCTTTTCTCCCTAATTTAACAATTTTCCAATTTAAAAAAAATTTAAAGAAATATAATAAAGTATGATAATTTTGATTTTACATTATTCTTATGAGCTAAAAGTTTGGAGGGTTATTACTTGTAAGATAAAAGAGAATATGCGTTACAAGTATTTGCGTGAACCTGTAAGGATAACTACTTACGAATAGCAACAACGTGTAATTGTATATTTTTTATTTTTTTAATATTTTGATCTAATTTTTATTAAAATCTTAATTATCCAAGATAGATGTGTAAAATTTATATATATAAAAAAGAATATATATAAATAATTAGAAAATTATATATATTCTATTTCTATGTACAGAATACTATACATATAATGTCTATTAGTTTCAAAAACCCAACATTGCCATTTTTTCAAAAACTTTTTCAACTACAACCTAATAAAATAGAACGTATATGTTATAATTTAGTATACAATACAAGCAACAACTCGCGCTATTTCCTGTTGAAAATGTTGTTTAAAGTTTCCTATTGGTCGCAAAATGCTACATTTCCACAGCAATGTGTGTAGGAAAAACCATTACTTCCTTAACAAAGCAGTCAGGTTTAAAAAATCCACAATTCTTTTGCAGCTTCGACCTATATAAAAATGGGAATAACAAAAGCCCACTAAAATTTAAAAAAATCTGATGTGGTCAGTACATAACCGACCGCAATGTGTATTGTCTAGTTAAGTGAAAATGTTACAGAATATTATAAAAATGTCTGTTAAATACTTCTTTCCAATTTTTAGGACATTAGTAAGCTTATAGTTAACATATCTAGAAAAATGTAAATTTGGCTCTTAGTAGAATTTCGCTTTGTGCTACCCGAACTCCCTGAAATGCTCGCCAGTTAGTTTCGGTAATAACCAGAACTCAAATATCAAATTTCAAGAAATTCCATCAATTCGTTCCGTAGATATGGTGAAAAATGTAAAATCGGCACGCAGATCAGTTTTCGAGCCCTGATCTTTCCAAAAAATTTATATGTTCATTGTTTCAATACGAAGAATTTAAATATTAAATTTCAATGAAATCGGTTGATTATTTCTCTTTATATACACAAAAATGTATATTTGGCCCGTAGTAAACGTCTAGTTGCCGATGCCTGATTTCTTCCAAAACATAGAAATTTTCGCGGACGGTCGTGCTGAGCTTATACATAAAATTTCAAGTAAATCGGTTGAATATTTTCTTCAAAATGGTGAAAAATGTAAAATCGGCCCGGAAATCAGTTTTCGAGCCCTGATCTTTCCAAAAAATTTATGTGTTCATTGTTTCAATATAAGGGATTTATATATTAAATTTCAATGAAATCGGTCAATTATATCCGTTTATATACGCAAAAATGTATATTTGGCCCGTAGTAAACGTCCAGTTGCCGATGCCTGATTTCTTCCAAAAGTTAGGAATTTTTGCGGACAGTCGAGAAAAGCTTGTATATGAAATTTCAAGTAAATCGGTTAAATACTCTATTCAACATGTTCAAAAACGTAAAACAGGCCCGCTAAAAAGTGCAGTTCCCGAGGCCTGATATATCCCAAAAGTTGATTAATCCGTGCCATGGTCGAAATAAACTTACATATAAAATTTCATCAAAATCGGTTCAGCAGAACTCGAGATACACGCATGCACACACAGACCGACAGACCGACAGACCGACAGGTTGCTAAAAAATAGTTTACTTACACTTCCCTACTATGGAGAAGAGCATTCCCACCGAAAACTCGATATGCAAAATTTGTTGCCATCACATAACCTACCTATTGTTTACATAATATGGTCGGTAAAAATTGACATGACAAATAGTTAAAAAATATGTTGGTTTTTTTCACTTAAATTCTTAGTTGCATTTACTTCGTATTTTGAAAAGGTATCTAATTACTTTTAAGATCTAATTCCTAAAAACCAAAATTTATTTTAAGTAGTGTTGAAAATAATAATGAAAACAACCGAATAAACCTACAAGAAAAAGAAAAGAATATAAGGTATTTAGAATTAAATTTAGTTTTAAATTATTGTTTTTTAATTTTGAAATTATTATGACTAGATACATAATGAAAGGATTACCAAAAATGCCAACTTGCAAACATTCAGGATAAAATTATAAATGCAAATCGATAAACTGTACAAATGCTCTTTCTGTTATAAAATAATTTTATAATTCTGCAAATAAAATCGAAAAAATAAAGGTTTATCGATTACGTAGAGTGTGTAAGCGCCATTATTTAATATAACGATGCCCAAAGAATAACGTGATGGAGAACGAACAAGCTGTAAATATACTCAAATGAAACATAGTGTTAAGCTGTTTACTTCGAAATTTAAAGTTTTAGATATACATTATTGTCGTTCACGAATTTCTGGTCGGCAATATTTTATATGAACTTTCTGTAAATAAGATGCACAAAATGTAAAACCACGACTGCTCTCAAAACCTTCGAGTAAATTGGTAGATGTAAAAAAACTATTGTCAAAACATTTTGGGGATGATTGGGAACAAGATGATGAATTAAAATTTTATCGAACGGTTCTCAATGCTGATGGTGAAGATATATCTGTAGAAAATGAAGATCAATTATTGTGCAGTAATTTTGATCATGATATTGATCTCCGAATTTAGTTATTTTATTTTTTTTTTCATAATTTTAAGTGAATGAAGTGTTGCTATTTAACTATTTTTATAATGTAGTTTTTCTTTGTGTTTTTATTTTTGTGATACGAAGTAACTTTAAAAATTTTTAATTCATGATGTTTAATTTTTTGTCTATTTTTTTAATGAATTGTTGCAACCCGTTATACTTTTATAAGTTTAATTTTATCACTTTTTTTTATCATAATACAATGAATTTAAGTTTTTAATTTGAAATTTAAAATAAATTTTTTGAATACTAATGAAAAACCACTAAAATGAAATTGAGTCAAACCAAATGTTTGTAAAAAGTAGCACTTTTTTTTTCAACCAGTGAAAATACTGTTTTTACAGACAATCTAGGTATATACTACATTATTAAAATTACTTTCATTTATATTTAGAAATTTCAAAAATTGCATACATTTGGGATGAATAAAAAAAATTCAAAAAGGAGTTAATATAATGCTCTAATTGAAGTATTAATTGCATGTGTTGAGAAAAATAATTATATTTTTTATTGGCACAGAATTTGCCCCTAGTTTTCTGCATTTATAGAAATTTGGAAAAGCTGGCAGTTTTGCAAATGCAAAAACCATTAATTCCTATAGTTGGCCACAAAAACCATTAATTCCATTTTTATACCCGTACGAACTTATGTTCGAAGAGCATACTAAATTTGCCTTACTGTTTGTAACGCTAAGAAATGACGGCCCTAGATATAGACCCAAGTGTATGTTTTTGATCGTCGTCAAATTCTGAGTTGATTTAGCATTGTCCGTCCGTCAGTCCGCCCGTCCATCCGTTCCAACGATAATTC